CATTTACTCTATAAAATTAGCTGATGCTTTCAAGTAGTTAAATAAAGCTATTAAATGTGAGAATGATTATCTAAAGCAGAAGGTTGGTAATTTATACTTCTTGGAAAATGATAGGAACACTAACTACTTTCATGCATGTATTAAAAACAGAGAGAATCAATACTATTTTAAAAATTCAAGATAATAATGGTGGTTGGCTAATAGATCAGGAAGTGATTATTAAAAATGGGATTGATTATTTCAAGATCCATTTTTTTAAGGTAAACTTGATGTAGTGTTGGATGTTGACATTACCTGGGAAATAAACTACTATCCTCATCTCTACAACTTGTTGATATACCTTCTGTGGCTGAAATATGGAAGGTTGCTAATGATTTTAATGGGAACAAGGCCACTGACCTTGATGGATTTTCTGCTGATTTCTATAAAAATAGTTGGAGGTGGGCAAAAGAGATGTGGTTTATGTTTTTCAATGCTACTATGGGGGACTCCTATGTGCAAATATTTTGCAACCCCCTCCATTGTACTAGTTCCAAAGAATAATGATAAAGCAAAATGGGAACACTTTAAACGCATTTGCTTAAGTCCTGTAATTTTAAAGATCATAAGCAAGATCATGATAGAAAGGCTAAAACAACATCCCCCCATCCTAATCTGTCCAAATCAATCGGCTTTCATCCAGAGAAGACGTATAACAGATAATATTTTACTGGCACAAAAATTAATTTGTTATCTTGACTATAAACTGGACTTAAGGAAAGCTTATGACACTATTATCTAGGATTTTATACTTGAGGTCATCAAATATAGGGGCTTCAACTCAAAGTTTCACAATTTTATCAAAGGTTGGTTGGAGGGAAACTATTATTAGGTGCTCCTTAATGGGCATGCACATGATCTTTTCACCTCTGATAGAGGCATAAAATAGGGGAATCCTCTTTCACCTATTATCTTCATTCTGGTATTTGGTTATTATTCTAGATTAATTAATTCCTTATAGATTCTACATTCCATACTCAACACAAAAATAAGGCTAGAATGGGAGTTGGTCATTTGGCCTATGCTGATGATGTAATTATATTCACTAATGCTTCCAAATACTCTATCAAAAGAGCATATTATACTCTTTTATCATTTCAGGAAGCTTCTGGTATGAGCTTTAATATTGAGAAATGACATCTTTATTTTTTAAAACATGTGAGTAGCAATATGAAGCCATTGACACATGAGCATACTGGCTTTACCATTGCTGATATCCCCTTAAAATACTTAGGCCTTAATTTACTCAAAGGGAGGAGAAAACAGATGCAATTTGAAGCTGTGGTGGATAAAATCAAAAGCAAAATTGGAGATTGGACCAATTATTTTTTATCCTTTGGGGTAAGGATTACTTTCATAAAATCAAAAGCAAAATTGGAGATTAGACCAATTATTTTTTATCCTTTGGGGGAAGGATTACTTTGCTGAAAACTGTGTTAACCTCTATTCCCATATATGCTTTGCAGGTGTTAAGTATCAAATCTAGCATAATTAAAACTTGAAAGGCTTTTTAATAAATTTTTATGGTACAGGAATCATAAACAAATAATTTAGGCCTGTTAGAAGGTATTATGTTGGCCTTTAAATGCAGGTGGGTTGTGATTTTGACAACTAAAGCATCTAGCTAAGGTCAATTCTATTATTCCATGGTTAAAATTTAGAAAAGCTGATCCTTTATGGGTCAAATACATATAAAGCAAGTATTGTAGAAATCTTCATCCATTGGAGGTTCAATCCAACATTGGAGATTCCAAAACTTGGATAGGCATGTTGAAAATCAAAAATATTGCTGAGGACTTTTTCCACTGAAAACTGGGGAATGGTAGCTATCCTTTTGGCATGATAAATGGCAGGAAGAAAACTTATCACTTTGCTTTACACATGAGCAAAAAAACTTGACTCTGGTTGAGCTTTACCTTGATGAAGGGTGGAACTTGGAGATGCTCACCAATATGTTAGCTAAGGATATAGTTACTTATATCTCTAAGATTCATTTTGATAAGTCCCAAAAGAATAAAATTTTATTGACTGAAACAATCAATCACTCTATTACTAACACTATCTATTCAAAACGTTACACTTGGGATAAGGTGGATTGTGGATGTTCGATTTGGAATACATGTTTGACCCCTTTTTTTATTGGAGAGCTTTACTTGGTTTGATTTCAATGGATGATATCCTTAAATTGAAAGGATTGAGAATCCCCTTCCAATGATTGCTTTGCAAGTCGGAGGAGCAAAGCGTAAATCATGTGTTTTTTGGATGCACCTACTCTATCAAAATCTGGACAGTTTTAGGTGATTGGAATGCTATTAAAACCCCTCCGTTGGGTTGGGCATATTTGTCACAGTGCAGGGAACATTGGTATTATCCTATTCATAAACATCATATATCTTTCATTTGCATTTGGTTCATTTGGTTGGCTAGAAATTCCCACAAGCATGAGAATTGTTGCATTAAGCAGGATAAGATGATTTCAAATATCTTATCTCATAAATTGTTTATTTACATAAATTTAGGCCATCCTTCTTTGCTAGTTGGGAGGATTAGCTGGGTTATGATATATCTGGCAAAAATTTTTATAAGGTCTCTCTTGTATGGTGGAAAAAACATCTTTTCCACTGGATTAAGGTAAATACTAATGGCAGTTGGAAGGCTGATTGTGTAGGTGCAGGTGGGGCCTACAAGTTTTTTTATAAGGTCTCTCTTGTATGGTGGAAAAAACAACTTTTCCATTGGATTAAGGTAAATACTAATGGCAGTTGGAAGGTTGATTGTGTAGGTGCATGTGGGGCCTACAAGTCTCATTCTGATAAAATATTATGTTTTTTTTCTTCACCTTGTATGGCTGTTTGTGCATTATCCGTAGAGTTATATGTTGTTTAGTTAACATTATCTATTGTGACTAAAATAAATTGAAATTTCTTGCAAATTGTGATGGATTCAACTATCCTGCTGGACATGTTGACGAATAATAAAGAATCTCCTTGGTATTTAAGTGTTGATTTATGCAGAACTAATCAACATTCAATAAATATTATCATCACATGGAGTTGCACACCCAAAGAAACTCCAGCATATTTCCTTGACAAAGCGGCTACGCAGACTAAGGTTATAATCCTGAAGACCAAGCTTGATTCTAATCTTAAGTTGCTGCTAACGAGGGACAATTTTAATATGTTAAATATTATCATCACATGGAGTTGCACACCCAAAGAAACTCCAGCATATTTCCTTGACAAAGCGGCTACACAGACTAAGGTTATAATTCTGAAGGCCAAGCCTGTTTCTGATCTTAAGTTGCTGCTGACGAGGGACAATTTTAATATGCGAACCCTAGTGGTTGAGTACTGTATTTTTTGATTTGTAGTGGGAGATCCAATCTTCTAAAATATGTAACTTTACTTTTAAATAATAAAATTACTTAAGGGTTTCCTTTAATATATATATTCTTTTTTCTCTAAAAAACGAATCGATATTTAGGGCGAACGTATCATCCTGTCCCCTAAATACCGATCCCCCATATGTATCCAATCTCCTAAAATATGTAACTTTACTTTTAAGTAATAAAATTACTTAAGGGTTTCCTTTAATATATATATTCTTTTTTTCTCTCAAAAAAGAATCGATATTTAGGGCGAACGTATCATCCTATCCCCTAAATACTGATCTCCCATCAGGGCTAATTTGACCCAGCTGAGATTTGAACCTGAGGCAGATGGGACTTACATTGAGGTTTTGATGTATGCTTGAGATTTGTTTAATGATTTGACAGAAACTCAAATGATCCGAAAGCTATACATCATTATTCTCAACAAGCAAATGAAATGCATAATATTGGAAGTATTAACTTAGATAAAGTTGAGAATAATTTTGATGCAAATATTTCTAGGTGCATTTACATACTGGGTTTTGATGTATGCTTGAGATTTGTTTAATGATTTTAACAGAAACTCAAATGATCCGAAAGCTATACATCACTATTCTCAACAAGCAAATGAAATGTATAATATTGGAAGTATTAATTTAGATAAAGTTGAGAATAATTTTGATGCAAATATTTCTAGGTGCATTTACATACATCCACCCAATTCCATGCAAATACATAAGAATTTAGTGTTATGATATAAATCTTCTAAGGAAAACAATATATAGAAGAATATAAAAAAATATAATATATAAATACATAAGAACATAAATGGTATGGCTGTTAGGTATGTACTCTTGCAAACTTGGGCAGACTTTGAGAATAGCTCATTTAAGCAAGGTTTGCTTTTGAAGAAAAATGTGGAGACATCTTTATGGTTATTTAGGACTTGGTTAGCATGCATTATGGGATGTCAGCCAAATGCTTTCATCTCAGATCACTGTAAGGTCATCCAATGTGCAGTTACAAAGTTGTTTTCAAGAACCATGCATCGCCTCTGTTTATATAATATCATGAAAAAAATGCATGAAAAATTGAAAGGACATGCAAAATTTATTGCGATAAGGAAGACACTAAAGAAGTTGGCATATAATTGTTTAGGATTGTTGGGTCTATACAAAAGCTTACATATAGAAGTTTATACAGAATTTTATTTGTATATACTATAGTACTTAGCTTTTTTTTACAGAAACTAAGTGCTACAGCAAGGGTCAAATGGGATTTCAATAAAGTAAGTATCTTTTAATTCATACCACCCAAATCCTATGTATTTACATAAAAAAATCATTATTTTTATGGGCATTTACATGCATACCACCTAGTTCCGATGTATTTACATATCTAACAACTAAATATTATCTTTTGTCTATTCATTAAACAAGAACTTCATACAGGAAAAAGGCTGAGATGTAAAAATCATGTTTTATGAAAATTTTGTGCTTCAAATAGAGCTGCTAGTTCTTCATAATTAGGTATCTTTTGATGGACGTGAGGAACCAAATTAGCTGACCAATTGCATACAGGAAAAAGGCTGAGATGTAAAAATCATGTTTATCTTTTGATGGATGTGAGGAACCAAATTAGCCGACCAATTGTTTGTTGTTGCTTTATCTTCTTGCCAACCTGAGCTTTGAGGACTTAGAGGCAGCCTTGCTGGTGGACCATGATTTTTTACTCTATGTTTTGCTTCCTTTGCAAATTCTATTCTACTGTCTGAATCAAATCTATCGAATTCATCAACTTTAATATCACTTTGAAATCTGTACCCAGTAGAGACTTTCCTTCTCAGAATCTTCTTATCATTGAAGTCATCAGCATCATCATGATCATCATTCATATGGATTGATAAAGTAAAGCTTTGAGAGCTAAATCTCTTTACATAAGAAATTGTGAAATTTGGAGAATTCCTTCTTGATTTATTAGATCTTTGTGGGTAAGGAAATCTGTAGCTTGAGCAACAAAGGTTGTTTTCTTTGGAAATTCTGTAGTTGCTAGTGCTATTGTGGTTATGTCCTTAAAATGTCTGGAAAATCCTTCACTGACATTGAACAAGAATTAAAAAACGAAAATGTAGTCTAAGAGGTTTGATTTGCAAAAAAAAAAATGCATATGCAAGTTATGCAAATTTACATCACATCTAAATTGTTAAAAATAGAACTGTAAGTTACTTTGCTTCGCGAAATGTAAATCTAACAATTAAGTTGCCTTTGGACATTAAATATTCACTTTACTCCATCACAAGGGATAAGATCAAAGAACATAACTTCTGAACATCATATTTAGTTGAGTAATCCCTGCTTACATAACCACAAAACAACAAAATAAATTTTCCAATTTGTCACAAACAAACCTAGTTCCTGCTAATTTAAACTTTTTATTCATAGAAAAAAAATCCGCACAAAAGAATTATCCCACTAGTCATAAGAAAATACAATGCTAGTTATGCCCGAAATCTATCAACAATGCCCTAAAGTTTAACCTGTTAATAACTAAATTTTCAAACGTACTGATTCTACCCTTTTAATGATTAGAGATTGAGTGCAATCAATTCGATTTGAGGTAAAAAAAATAGAAAAAATTCTATTAGATACAAGTGTAATGTAAGGAAATGCAAGGTCCTATGATCATCAATCAAATTACATATATTAAGAAAAATTCCACAAGATGTGTAATGAAGAATAACGAAATCAAACCCAAGTCAAACACAATAAAAACATAAAATAAAAAAAGATGGGAGTGGAGGAAGAAATACGAGGGTTGCCTTTCTCAATGCATTTAGGAAGCGGTGGAGGAGAGCGGATGGGGAGAAAGATGGGAGTTCTGAAGATTTGTAGAAGCTGTGATCAATTAGTTGCTTTCCCAACTAGGTCGAGTGGAGCAGAAGAGGAGAAAAATGAAAGTTTCGGAAGTCTGTAGAGGCCACGATCAATTTGTTGCCTTCCCAACCAGCAGCTCTAAAATCGACTGGGGTTTTGTTTCTCGTGCATGGATCAACAGAGGCTAATAAACAAAGGTAAACAGAGTTCTGATGAGGTAAAACAAAGAGTCTGTTGTTCCTTTTTTGTAATATTAAAATTTTGATTTCCAAATGTGTAAGTTTTATAGTTTGGTGTTCTATATATGTAAAAATTCCTTAAAATGATACAATAACTCCTATAAAGATATTAACAAATATCAAATTCAAAAAATTTAAATATTTTACTTGCAGTGCACTTGAAAATTTACATATATATATGTGTGTGCGAGCGCGCGCGCGCGCGTGTGTGGGGATGCTGTAGAGTTCACATATCTGTTGCAACAATAATTTCTCTCTAATGCAATGCATATGGAGGTAGGGAGGTGTCGGCAACTAAAAAGTTTTGTGGGGTGGTGGTTGCCCGTAAGAAGCTGTCGGTCGCTGGAAGTGAAATCCCGTCGCCCGCTTCGGAAGGACGTTTTAATTTATATATATATATATATATATATA